TACATTTAGCAGGATAGATAAGTTTCTAAGGAATAACTGATGGATTTATGCACGCGCGCGCACACACACACACACACATCTATATTTCAGAGAGAGAGAGAGAGAAACATCAATGATGAGAGAGAATCATTGCCTCCTGCATGCCCCACATTGGGGATCGAGCCTGCAATCTGGGCATGTGCCCTGGCCAGGAATCGAACCGTGACCTCCTGAGTCATAGGTTGATGCCCAACCACTGAGCCACACTGGTTGGGCAGCAATAACGGATGTTTTAATCAGATTCTTATACAACAGAGGTAGTACTCTGATGATACTGTAGATGTCATCCATTCACCAAGTAGGGATGAAAGACAGTTAAGTGAATAGAACTTTGGAAGGCAAATAATTAACGAAGGAAGACATTCCAGGGAGAGGGAGGAGACAGAACCGTCATGGGAAGGGAAGGGTGTTTGGGGGACAGTGTGAGTTCGGGCAGAGTGGAGAATGCAGAGGGATGGGTCTGGGGAAGTGGCTCAGTGGAGCGTGAGACAGAGCATCCTAGAGGTCAGGCAACTGGCCTGGGCAGTGCTTGGTGGTCTGATTTCTCCAGAGCTGGAGAACTCTAAATTTGAGCACATAGATAAGTGGATACGGAGGAAGAAGCTAAATAATAGTGCATAGAATTGTTTTAGGGAGCATGGGGAGGGAAAGTTACACACTTCCTCCCTCCTTCCCTCCTTCCCTCCATCATTATTTTCTGTGAACTAATTATATGTCAGCATTATGCTAAGTTTTTAAAGACACAGAGATGAGCAAGGCACACGTTTTGAATCCCGCTTCCTCAGCCCCTAACAAAGCGTGCAGTTGGGTGACAGATCCAGACAAGGAAAGGATAAAGACTCTGGACAGGGACAAGTCTATGCCACATGAAAGCACAGAGGGTTTTAGAGCAGAGAAGGGGGCCCCTTTATGTCAGGACTGGGGATGGCGAGCCAGGAATTCCTGTGGGAGGAAGGATGTTTGGGTTGATTAAAACAGAAATTAACAGGAGCCCCTGGTCTCCTGTTAAAAGGGGAAGAAAGCTACTTCAGGAGGCAGACACAGTCTGTGAAAGGGATGTAAGTGTGCGAGGGCATGTGGTCTTAGGGAGCTGCAGGTATTGTGCCTGGAGCCCTGGGCACATGGCAAATAGAAGCAGAAGATGAGGTGACATAAGCGAGCCTGGTTTTGTCAGATAATTAGATTAACAGCTAGGGTGGCTGGGCCTTTTATTGCTTTTGTAGAAACGAGAGGACTACTCAGGAGGGAGATCATGCAGAGCCTTGCCATCCAAGGGTATCCTTTAAGCCCGAAGCACCAGCAATCGCTGGCAGCTCGTTAGAAATGCGGAACCTTAGGCCCCACTCCAGACCCACTGAGGCTCGACCAGCAGTGTTTCTGAGCACAGACTCCGGGGTTGGAATCTGGCTCTGCCATCTGCAGGGGGTACACCTCTGGTCCTCTCACCTTCTCTGGATGTCAATATCCTCAGCAATAAAGCTGAGAAGGTCAGTGGATTCTGTTGACATTTTCAGCTATAAGGGGTGTGTGTGTGTGTGTGTGTGTGTGTGTGTGTGTGTGTGTGAATGCGTGAATGTGTGTGTATGTGTTTAATTCTAGGGGATACTGGTGGAAGAGCTGCTCATTTTTAAAACCGGCTAACGCATGTCTGTTGCCTGGATGACCCACTGCTTGGAATTGTGCCCTCAAGCCTGTGGCTAAAGGAAAAGGTCATTAGGAACCACAGACATGCACCTGAAGGCAGATTAGCAGGGGAAACCAGGTCAGACCCTCAGCACTCAGCACTCTGCCCAGCTGGGGTTTCAGGGAACGGGGCAGAGAATAAGAGCTCTTCTGTCCCCTCCCACCAATAACCTTCCCTCCTCCTTAAGGAAAGAAAGACAAAAAGGAGCAGGACCACATCCAGGGGCACAGAATTCTACAAGGCTTACCTGCCTATGGGGTAAGGATTACCGAGAGAGAGAAAGAGAGAGAGAGAGAGAAAGAGAGAGAGAGAGAGAGAGAGAGAGAGAGAGAGAGAGAGATCTAAAGCACAAATGTCTGAATGAAGAGAGAGAAGACCCAGCTGTCTGGTCGAATGGTACACTAGAGCTGCATCACATTTTCCAAACAGCTTCCCCAACAGGCCTAGGTAAAGGCTGCAAAAATGTGTCTGAACAGGCTCCCAACTACCCGGTAAGAGAGAATGGTGGTTATAAAGCCAAATCCTGGCCTGACTCTGCAGAGACAGGGTGAGCCTGGAGAAGCCCTGTCCTCACTTCTCAACTGGTGCCCAGAGAGAAGGGTGAGCCCTGGACAGTGTGGCTCAGTTGGTTGCGCCATCCCATGCACCAAGAGGTCACCAGTTCGATTCGGGGTCAGGGCACACGCTCAGGTTGCAGGTTTGATCTCCAACAGGGGGCATGTAGGATGCAGACAATCTCTCTCTCTCTCTCTTATCAGTAAAAACATAATCTTAAGAAAAAAAGGAGTGGGACAGAACTGGGACGAGGGAGCACTGGGCCAAGGAGACCTCTCAGCTCTGGGCAGAGGCTGCCCCCTGGCATCTGTGCATGAGTTTTCCAGGCAAGAATGCCAGAGAGGAATGAGGCTCCAGAGAAAATACAGCGACACACATGGCAGGAAGGGGCAGAGGACGGGAGGGAGCGAGGAGAACGGACTTCTAATACCAGCTTCCTTTCTACTTGCCTTATGACCTTGGCAAGTCTCTTCTCTAACTCCTGTTTCCCTATTTGTGGACATTAATAACGGCCACTCACTGAGCAATAACTATGAATTAGACATTGTCCATTTACTAAGCATTTACCATAAAGAGAGAGTGTCTCATGGGTTTAAAGGTCATCTCTATGCTGTTGACTCAGAGATTTCTGTCTCCAGCTGAGACCTCTGCTTTGCATTCCACTTTTGGACCCCAAAGCCCACTTTCCATCTCCACTTGGTGATTAGTAGTCACCTTGAACTTATACTCATAACAGCACTTGGGATCTCCCTCACCTCAACCCTGACCCTCCTACAGCACCTACCTCCAGACTCAGCAAATGGTAAATCCATCCACCCCAGTGTTCAGACAGAACAATTTACAATCATCATCGATTTCTATTCATCACCTCCCATATCCAACAACACATTTTATCAAAACTACGCCCTACATATATCCGGAATTGGACTGTTTCTCACATCTACTCCCCTAACCCCCTTGGTCCAAGCCACTTACCAAGTCTTGCTTCGATGAGAATAACAGTGCCCTTGACTGTCCCTATGTCAATTGGCCACAAGCAGCCAGAGCAATGCCACTGAATGTGGGTTAGAAGACCCATCCTGCTGAATGCAGGTTAGATCATGTGGTTCCTGTGCTCAGAATCCTCCAGTGACTTCTCATCTCACTCAGAGTAAAACCCAAAGTCCTCATCATTCTATTAAACCCCCTAACCCTCCCCTCCACAGTCTTCCTCTTCTCAAGTCTGCCTCCAGCTCCCTCCCCTGGCTCCCCTCCAGCCATGGGGGGTCTCCTGCTTGTGTGGAACCCTGGGCATCTCCTTGCGCTCCTGCCACAGGGCACTGCCCTTGCTCATCCAGGATAGGGGCAGGCTTCCCTCCCCTGCTGAAAGCGCCTGCTCAAATGTCCCCTTCTCAGAGAAGCCTGCCCTGACCCTGTCTAGGTAATAACAATGCCGCTCCCACCCAGCTTAGTGCTAGCTGTGCTCGGTGCTCTTCCCGGCATTGACCATCACCTGACAAGCTGTATGTATATTTACCTGGTTGTGTACTAAGATGAAATCTTTTTTTCCTTCTTTTTAAATATATTTTTTATTGTTGATAGTATCATAGATATTTCCCATCCCCTCTTCTTTACTCCCCTCCACCCAACCTCTACCCTAGAGGTCTTCACTACCCTATTGCCCCTGTCCATGGGCTATGCATATAAGTTCTTTGGTTTATCTCTTCTCGTCCCCCCAACCCCTCATCACAATGATGGAAATTTTCTATACCTGAGTTGTCCAAGAGGTAGCCACTAGTCACACGTAGCTATGGAGCACTTAAAATGTGACTGGGGACCTGAATGATTACTTTTGTTTAATTCTAATTAAGTTACATTTCAGCAGCCACATGTGGCTAATGGCTGCTATGTCAGACACTGCAGATGTAATGTCTCCCTAGAATTTCAATGTGATCAAGGCAGAGATTTTGCCTATTTTGTTCACTGCTGTGTCCCCAAGGCCTAGAAAAGTGCCCGGCCGCTCAATAAATACCTGTCGAGCGGGTGAATACAGGAATATGCTAGGAGCTTCCCAGGCATTAGCTCATTCCATCTGAACAACAGGCGTGTGTGCGGGGCAGACGCTATTTTCGTTCTGTGCTGCCGAAGAACACCAGGTAGTCTGCACCCTGTGACCAACATCTCCCCATTTAGGATGAGTGAATCCTGGGGATCTAATGTACAGCACGGTGAATACAATGAACAACAGCCTATTATACATTTGAAAGGTAGTAAGATCTTACATGTCAGCATCATAAAATATGGCATGTGAGGTGATGGAGGTGTTAATTCCATCATGGCAGTCATTTCCTACTATGTACGTGCATTCAACCATCACACTGTACACATTAAACTTACATAATGTTATGTGTCAAGTATATCTCAATAAAGCTGGAAAAATGATAGGGAGACCACGCTGCTAGTCGGAGGTAGACAGGATCGAAGCTCAGGATGTGCGATGACATTCAGACACTGCTTTGTTAGAGCTGGACTACAGACTCTCTGAGATTCTGTGGTTTCCTGAGAACTTTCTCCCATGTCAGCCAATGGCAGCACATACTTTAAGCACCAACTGGATTGATGGATCTTTACATAAAGCCCCTTGTCAATCCCTCAGAAGCCATGATGCTCAGGTACAAGGAGGGAAGCCCACCCTCCAGCCCAGATCCTCTCTTCCTCTTTCCCAGCCCCGCCCATGGCTCACCGGTGTCCGGGTCGCAGAGCTGCTCACAGGCGTCTGTCGTCCTCTGTCCACAGAGGTCCCTCACCCACGGGGAGGTGGCGTTGACCTGGTAATACAGGGACAGCTTGGCCGGGTTTAGCCAGTCGGAGATGTCCAGGTAGCTCCCTTCGCTCACCACAAAGCTGCTCCCTGTGGGCGAATAGAGAAAGACAGCTACTTTCTCCCTGATTTTAGGTGCAGGTGTGTCTCACTGCTGATGCTGCCACCAGTAACACAGAAGTACATACAAGTAACACACACACACACACACACACACACACACCCAAAGTCGCCTGTTCTCACTGTCTACATGCATGTACATAGTCTACACGCATTTACAATGCACCCTCATGGTGTCAGTAGCCAGTGGAGACAAAGACAAGTGAGGCATGAGAGACAGTTCAACTTAGTGATTAAGTCAGGCCCTGCGACTGAGTGAGACCTGGGTTCAAATCCTGAGCTCACCCTGGCCAGCCACTGAGTTTGGGTGAGTCACTCAATGACTCTGGGCCTTGTTTACTTCACCTGTCAATGGGAATTTTAATGGGACCTATCTCAAAGGGTTACTGTGAGAATGAAATAAAATAATGTAGATAAAGTGCTCAGCCAGTAGCTGACTTGTCCTAGTAAAGAATGATGCAATATTAAAATCTGAAAGAAAACGAAAGTGCATGTCCCTGTCAACCTAGCCATGTCCTCTGGAACAGGATTCCCTGATGTCCACTGGGGCCAGGTGGGAGAGACCAGTTGAGCATAAGGGAAATAGCATAGCTTCTTTTTTTTTTTTTTGCAGGTCTAATTAAGCAAGTTTATTTTATATATATAAAAGGCTAAGTTGACTTGGGCATGTGTGATACATATAAAGAACTCACTGGCGCCAATTGCACACATGTGTTTTGATCTGTCATTGTCTATCGTGAATTTAGTTGACACTTCTATTATAGAGAAAGGGCAAATAGTGATATTAAAATATTTCTTCTGATTAATTTCCTTTCAATGTGCATGAATCTGTGCACTGGGACACTAGTGATAATATAAATAAGGTAATTGCAGTTCTGAAATTATAGTTAATATCATTATAGCTCTATATGTATATACTTTTTTTAAATTTTGTTTTATTGCTTAAAGTATTTCAAAGAGTATTACATATGTCTCCATTTTTTCCCCCTTGACATTCCCCCGGACTCCCCTACCCCCCAGTGTCTTGTGTCCATTGGTTATGCTTATATGCATGCATACAAGTCCTTCGGTTGATCTCTTACCTCCACCCCCCCAACCCTCTCCGGCCTTCCTGCTGTAGTTTGACAGTCTGTTAGATGCTGCTCTGTCTCTGTATCTATTTTTGTTCATCAGTTTATAATGGTCTTTATTATCCATAAATGAGAGATCATGTGGTATTTTTCTTTCACTGACTGGCTTATTTCACTTAGCATAATGCTCTCCAGTTCCATTCATGCTGTTGCAAATGGTAAGAATTCCTTCTTTTTTACAGCAGCATATTATTCCATTGTGTAGATGTACCACAGTTTTCTAATTCATTCATCTGCTGATGGGCACTTACGCTGTTTCCAAATCTTAGCTAAGCATAGCTTCTCGGCATGGCTTTTGTTGTTGCTGTTTGTTTGGTTTTCTATTAGAGAGAGAAATTCAAAGAAATCTCGAGCACCTCCAAAAAAAAGCAGCACCTGTGCAGCAAAAACACCTCAATGCTGGGAAACAATAGGGAGGTGGAGTTTGGGGTGAACTGGGCACTGCAGGTTCTATCGAAAGGGATCAACTGCACCCCAGCTCAGCCAGCTCTGGCCAAATGGGGGGAAAGGCCAGCGAGCAGACTGTCAGTTTCTTCAGGAGAGTCTGGAAAATCAGATTTTTATGGCAATCAACCAATTTTTAAACAATGGCTTAAATTTGTTATTGAAAGCAATTTATGCTCCAAAATGTTCCCCTTTAACACATATGTATGCACACATACTACATATATGCATGTGTGTTTATATATGCACATGTATATGGATTACATACATACATGTGCATACATACATTCTTTGTGGGGCAAGGAACAGACATCCATCAGGATGGCTGCATAGAGGGTGTAAATGGTAGTGCCTGTATTTTGCAGTATACCAAAGGTAACATTTTATAGGGGAAACAAAGGTTCAAATAGGACCAGACTCCACCAAGCTGGATTTGGAGAGCTCTTCTAGATTTATGCAGATCTAGGGATCTCAGCACAGGAGATCTTAAATAGTTTCGTAATTAACATGACTCAGCTTCTCTCCCTGCATTTTCTTCTCTCTCCCTCACTCTCTACCAACAAAATCTTTCCATGTATACACTGCAAATTTCCAAAGGAAGGACTCAGTTAATAGGCATCAGATGGGTTTGAGAGCAACCTCTCTGCCAGGTCATATCAGACCCTGCTTGTTGACCAATGGTTGGGCTCCTCTCAGCTCTTCTATGGTCCAATGGGCAATGGCCAGAGGCGGGGTCACATCAGACCTTACCTGGCTGCCCTGAAGATCTAAGATGCCCTGAGAAGGATAAGGGTACGGCAGGCAATGTTATCTTTTCTAAGTCACACAAATGTTGTGGCCAATATCACCCCATAGAATAAGCCCAGTAGACAATGGGATTTTGGGTGAGGAAGAAAGAGGAGTCTACGGGAAAAGCAAAAGGAGTAGATAGCATCAGGCTCCGAGATAAGAAAATGGCTGTATTTGAAGTTGGCCTTAAAGTCTTTGGCAGCTGAACAGAAAAGTAGAAGTCTGCTGGATTCCATATTTCAAATCTCTGGCAAGGGAAGATATGCAAATCTATCCGCAAAGCCATATTTCCCCCTTTGGAACTGAGCCGAAACATGGCACACGGGTCCTCATGTGAGGCACCGAACATCACAACCGACTACAGATTTTTCTTTTGAAAAGCACAGTCGTGCTGTTTAAAAGGATAATTTTTGTATTTATTCTCACTAAAGACTGAGGGATGGATATTGAATTCTGTCCCAGGGCTGCGTTTGGCTAATCCATCACTTCAGGAAAGCTAAGGAGCAGGGATAAAGAGAAAGGAGTCAGCAAGATGTGCATTCAGATCTTCACTCTGCTGTTTACCAGCTCTGCAAACGTGGGCAAGAAAACAAACCCTCAGTCGTCTCATATGAAAGTGTGAATTGTGACTCTCTCTGCACAGGGTTAACATAAAGATTAAGTGAGACAATGTGCTTCTCTCAGGTCCAATTCCCCAGGAACCAGACTCAAAGGCAGAGCCTGGCACGCAGGAGGCTGTGGAGGTGTGCCCTTGTAAAGGGATGAGCAAAGTGGGATTGCACAAGAGAGAGAAGTCGAATTGTCACACAGCTGCAGCAAAGACCTCAGCTCATCTCCTAGGGGGCTGGGAGCTGGGGTGGTCCTTCAGAGTTTTCCTGAATCAGGACAAGAACATCAGGTCATTGTGCCTCAGCATTACCCAGTCACAGGCTGTGGGCTATTCCTGGGGAAGAGACGTAAACTTGGGTGAAGTGGTCCCTTTCGATGGGTGACCTTTCTCCGATAAAGACTTTGAGCGAGGAGTCAGCCACCAACAATCCTGGCGGCTGGGAAAGGAGTGCCTGTGTTCTAACAAGAGATGTGGACACAGCAAATCTCCATACAATATGCACAATATGTGAAGTCCCTGGCACACAGTGAAATCTCAACTCACGGGAGCTATTTTGACTACTATTTGGATCTCTTACAAATTTAGAAGCTCTGAATGCAATGCCAGTTAATAGATCTCTCTCAAATCTGAGGAATGTGAGTCTCTTTGGAAGGGACTAACTCAAACACAGGTTATCCTTGACTTCTTCTGAAAGATGTTACAAGGTCTATGGTTGCTTTAATGGCAGCAGGAGTCACTATCCTTGGAAGACCCTCTCTGCTCCAGTCCCTGGGGTGAATGTGTTATGTATGCATCCTGCTTTCTAATCTTTCTGAGAGCCTTGTAAGATTAAAATTTCCCCATTTTACAAATGACAACAGGAGGTTCAGAGAGCAATGGTTTTAGCCAAATTTGTACAAAGAGTAAGTGGCCAAAATAGAAACTGCAGCATCCGAACTGGGACCCGCCCATTATTCCAGGCTGTCATGAGAATCAGGGGCTTTGGTTGGATTCTCTGGCCCTCTGTGGTCCTCCCACCCTCTGCACATCCCTCATCAGTGTGCATCCTGTCGCGTGGGAGGGCTTTTGCTTTCTCTGATAGACTATGATTTCCTACAGGGACGAGGTCATGAGTTATTCATGAGCCCTTATCAATCAAGCCCTCAGTAAAATGGCTGGCGCATATGGGAAGTTTAGCGCGTGTCTGCAGAGTGAATTAATGAAATCAAAGTTCCACGCTTCACTGGAGGGAACTTCAACTCCCTCTATCATGGGATTGTGAGGCAGGAATGCCTCCAACACTGATCTCAAAGGTTAAGTCTTTCCATCCTGTGAGACCCAGAACACAAAATCAGCCCTTCAGAGCCTCCCCGGTTCAACCCAAAACTCGAACTTCACTATCGTGTGTCCTGAGCTCCGGTTCGCTCCATGGGCTTGTGATGTGGGTGGTTCAGGTGGAGATGCTGGGGGACTCAGTGCGACGAGGCCAGGCCATATGGCATAGAGATAGCACATCAGGTAGTGAAAGGAGATAACTGTGCAAATGCCGTCAGCAAGGCTTAATTCATGTGTCCATTCAACCGTTTACTAATCCCCTCGTTGCATAAGGAATAGACAGAGAGAATGAGAAATAGCCTGGCTCCACCAAGAACATGATGGACTACCAAGGGTGTGGGCATTCATGGCTGTAATACAACCTAGAGTGTGGTAAGAACTGCCTGAAAAGAATGGGCTTGTCTTGGATCTAAGAGAAGGAAAAAGGGGTGTCAGAGACCAGTTTGAAATGCTGGTCTTGAAGCCAGACATTGAAGGACACGAAGAAGAATGACGAGTGAGGCAAAATTGAGGTGGCATTTATATTTTAAGTCTCGCCTTCTGAGTTGGCTCATACTGTTCTTAATCACTCTAATATTTAGACAGTATTCCGCTCAACCTGTAGTTATATATGCCATATTATAGATTCATTCATTTACTCATGCATATATTCTTCATTTAACAAAAAGAAGACTTACTATGTG